TGAGAGATCAATGGAACTGGATGACATATTTCATGGACGTTTAGCTAGCCATTGCTTCTCCAGTTGACTCAGCAGTAAGAAACTCCTGGCGAAGTTTCCAGCAAATTGCATCTCTCGAGTGATCCACCAGACACATCAGATTTGTCTCCAGAACTTTGACAGGTTGGTTGCTAAATCATCGGTGAAGCCTCACACTCGCAGCCGGCTCTTACTGTTCCCTTGCTGAAGATTATTGCTGCTGCAGCAGCAGCCTGGCCTTCTGCTGATATTTCATGTTAACCACCGCCATTGTCATAAGTGCTATCCATCACGTCCATGTGGCAAAGGAGCAGTGCTCATTGCTCATATTATGACACTAATTCTCTGCTTAAAAGAAGTAATGGCAAAAGAGAGACTGGTGGTGGCCCAGAAATTTATCTCCGCATTGTATTTTTCCAACTCAAACAGTTTGATGGGGGTTTTTTCAGCTGACCCGGGAGCAGCTCTTGCAAGACAGAAATGCAGAGCCTTTCCAGTAAATGCATCACTCACCTAATCTCAGAGGGAGTGGCTTGCAGAATGGGTGCAAAGGTGAGCAAAGGCAGGTGTGGGAAACTTTTGGCCTTCCATATGTTGCTGAACTCCCTGGGCACTGGGCATGTTTGCTGGGGCTAATGGGTGTTGCAGCTAAGAAAGATCTGGAGGACCAAAGATTCCCCAGATGTGAGCAAATGGCCTGGGCAGGCTGTGACAGAATGCCTGGAAGTGCATGCTAAATGCCTGCTGAAAATCTCAGAAACTCAGGAGCAGGTATGTACTTATGGGTTTGCTAGGTTGGCCCCTGACAAGGGGGTGCAAAAACGGGGGCTTTCCACTCTGGTATGGAGTGGCTAGGAGCCTGCCTGCCTGCCTGCCTATCAACCTGCCTGCTCCCTGGGCAACTCCTCCACTGCTCTGGGTGGCCGGGCAAGGCATGCAGGCTCCTCTGAGCACAAATCCGGTCTCTGATGTGGGCTGTGGCAGCAGCCCTGCAGAGCCACCTCCCTGGTTGGCCAGTGGCACTATTTAAACTTTGATTGGAGCACCTGGTGCAGCTTGGAGGGAAGGAGACAGAGAGAGTTGCAGAAGGAGGGAAAAGGAAAGGATGGAAATGTTAGAAAGGAAAGCAGCAAGTGGAGGCAGGCAGGCAGGCAGGCAGACGAGGAGGGGAGGGAGAGCAGAGCAGACCTGACCCTGATGGCTATGGAGGCAGTCACTGGAGGAGCACAGAAGGTGTCAAAAAGCCAACTTTTTGAGTTTCTGGGACGTGGTCTCTCCCAGCTTGGGTGGCAACAATAAATCTCCTTTCCAAGGGCTCACGAGAGCCTAGGTACACCTCTGCTCAAGGGGAGGCCCTGTGCGTTTGAAATCATCTATCCATGTGAACTGATTCTGCTGCAGGAGAAGCTGGATTCTTTGACACAAATCATGCATATTGAGCCCACCGGCATGCTCTTATCTTGCACAATCTACTCTGAAAGCTTTACCATTTTGCATAATTTATTATAGTTTTGCTAGCCACAAGGAAGCGGGAACAGACAATGCAGGAGTCTGAACTCTCCTGTACACCCACACACATAGGGAATTTTGTGCATCTCTACTGAGATTTCAACAGGATTTGCCCACACTCTGTCAAGACGACCTCCACTGTCTTAAGGACTAGAAACTTCATTTTTTTTTATTTTAAAGGAAACACTGATGTTCTTGGGAAGCTGAATTACACTTGGTGAAACTTTCTGTACCTTCCCAGTGAGGCTGTGGAATGGCAGCTCCATGCAGTCCTCTGGCAAGCCTATGGCAATTGGGGAAGAGTGATCACTCAGAGGCATTTACTTTGCATGTTGAAGGTCCCATAAAAAAACTGGATGAAGCCTCTATTTGAAACCCTGGATGGCCACTGCCAGTCCAAGTAGGCAACATTGAACTAGATGGACCAGCCTTCTGACTTAGCATAAGACAGCTTCCTATGGTCCTGCATGCAATCACCTGCTGCTTTCTTAGTTTTCCTGGATACTTCTTCCTATGGACTAGAGCATGCAAAACCTGAGTTTGAACACACCGTCACAAATTGCACTTGAAGATGACCAGCAGCAAGCAGACTGTTCTGTGTGTTTTCCTTGCTGTCTCTCACATAAACACTCACATGCCCTGACCCTGTGATAGGCCGCTAATTGCAAACCTGTGGCAGTAAATTAACCTCATCTAAGTCATTATCAAGTACAACACACAGCGCAGCTTGATAAATGAATGAAAGCGCAGGGCAGGAAAAACATCGCAAGGTGCAGAACAGCCATTTCCCCCTCCTCTCATCATGCAAAATTCTCAGCTCTCCTTCAAAATAAGGGAGGGGGTGTGTGAATCAGACAACAGAATTCCTTGCAGCCAGGAAGTGATGTGCAGATGGGAGCATAGAAAGCTGCCTTATCTAGCTCAATATAATCCATACCAGGGGTTTCCAAGCTGTGGTCTGTGATCTTCAGTGGTCCACGAGCTTCATTCAGGTGCCTGCAAAAATAAAATTAAAAAGCACACAGCTTCTAAGAGCATTAGCCTTGCTATAATAGGCACAAAAATTATTAAGTGGTCCACCAACCCTGCTCCTAAGAGCATGGAATCATAGAATTGTAGAGCTGGAAGGGACCACGGGGGTCATCTAGTCCAACCCCCTGCAATACAGAAATCTTTTGCTCAACGTAGAGCTCAAACCCATGACCCTGAGTTTTAAGACACATGAAAAGCCTGCTGGTTCAGGCTAAAAGGGCCGTACACCAAATCACCATTGGATCACAGAAGCATCACGTGCTGTGGTTGGTATGTGGTGATACATTGAGCATCCTAGATAAGAATTCAAGGAATTCAAGGAAACTAAGAAAGAAGGCTTCAGCACAACTGGGCAGAGGGAGGGGTGACCTGGGAACAGGGGTCCAGGTGTGTCACAGAGAAACCAAACAGGACAGTCAAGATGGCAATGGGATTTGCATAGATATTTGGCTGTGTCTGGACAATAATATCTATCTATCTATCTATCTATCTATCTATCTATCTATCATCTATCTATCATCTATCTATCTATTATCTATCTATCTATCTATCTATCTATCTATCATCTATCATCTATCTATATTTTTTCAACATACCATTTTCAACAGTAATTAAACATATTTTTACATCTTATTGCATATTTTTTACTTCCATCAGTCCTGTCTGAAACTTTTCCAATCTAATTTCTTAGTATACATTTCTTATTTTCCCTGTTACATTTTAAAACTCATAACCAATACCTCTATTCTTTATCTACTTTGTAGCACTTCATATATTCCTCCTTACAAAACTTCTTGTAGTCCTACCAGCATAATTTGTTGGTTACAATTGCTTTTCAAATACACTTCTTCCAATCTTCTGTAAATCTCTGATCCCGCAGGTTTCAAATCCTTCCTGTCATTTTGTCCCCTGGACAATAGTAGCCAATTTGGCTTTCATCGGCTTGGCTTGGCTTGTAGCTCCTATTGACTCTTCACTTGGCTGGTTTTAAAAGAGGATTCGACAGATTCATGGAGTACAAGGCTATCAATGGCTGCCAGCCATGATTACTGTACTCTGTCTCCATGGTCAGAGGCCTTAATCCTTCTGAATACCAGTTGCTAGAAACTGCAGGAGGGGAGAGGGCTGTCGCGTTCAGATCCTGCTTGCAGGTGTCCCACCAGCATCTGTTTGGCCACTGTGAGGACAGGATGCTGGACTAGATGGACCACTGGCATCATCCAGCAGGCACTTCTTATGCTCTCATATGTACTTAATGCACCTCTTGAAGTTAACTCTCAAGCTACGGGGGGGGGGCTAGCAGGGCTTTTTGCCCCAGGTGAAGCCTCTAGAGGGGCACCAATGAGGCTCCCAGCCTGTGTGTGTGTACACAAATGCATATGGGTCTCTGTGTGCCAAACTGGGTCTTTGAGACCAGGATGAAAGACTAGTTTCACCCCTATGCTGGTAGAAAAGTATACCAAGCAGTTTATATAAAACCACAATGTAGGGCAGTAGTTAAGAGTGTTGGACTAGGACCTCGGAGACCAGGGTTCAAATCCGTATTCAGCTATGAAACTCATTGGGTGACTTCGGGCCAGCTTAACCCACCACACAGGGTTGTTCTGGTCATAAACTGGGAAGAGAACCATGTACATCACGTTAAGCTCCTTGGAGAAAAGCTGGGACTTCAATGCAATAAATGAATCTTGCTATTTTTGTGGGAGATTACTTATGAAATGAGTGTGCCCATTTTACAGAAACATGGAGCGGGGCTGTGACAGCTCCCTTCCTAAAGGACCACAACTATCCGCAACCATAGAAGTCAAATATTAGAGCAGGATCACATCTGATCTGCTTATTTTTATCCTTATTATGTTTCAGTGGCTTTTTTATGCAAAAATTCTCCAAATGACCTGCAGCATATGGAAAACAAACAGCAAACAGCAGCAGACATTATAATGCAAACACATTCGCACGAAGTCACACGCAGTTCATAGAAAACACACAAAGCCACCCCCACCCCTAATAGCAGCAGAATGCCATCATCCACTGTGAGAGCCAACTTTCTGGTAACTTCAGCAGCTTAAGGACGGGGGAGGGGAAGGGGCTGCCCGACGAAGGGTGCTGTGTAACCATAAAGCTTGCACTTGTTCCCCGCAGTAATCAAAGCTGGCCCATTCGAAAACATCTCTCCGACAGTTATATTTTGGCGACGTTCGACAAAAGAGCAAATATGGGATTCTTCCCCCGACTCCACATGCGGAAATTGCGCGCACCATGATACAGGCGCACGGCTGCAGAGCGCGACGGGTTCCTTTTGATCTTTCTCTCTCTCGTGCTCTTTTGGGAAGCGTCTGCAACCTTTCCCGACCGAGCACCGCCCGCGCTTTGGATAGAGACGCCCCCACCTGCCGCTTCACAAGCCGAGTTCCTCCGGCTCTGGGCTCTTTCCACCGCGGCGCCCAAGATCACACCGGGAACAGGAGGAGAGGCTCTTGGGGGCAAGTTTCTTTCCCCGGGGCTTTGAAAAAGGAAGCGGGCTGTTTACCAAGCAGAAGGGGGGGGAGAAGCGGTGCGGGCAACCTTTTGCAGTTTGCGGGGGGGGGGGTAGATTCCGCGCAAACGCGCCCCTAAATCGGAGTTCTTTTTAGAGCAAAGAATACGAATTAGTGCGCAAAGCAGACACTTTGGGAAATCCGCTTTACAGGGCGAGGGGGGCAGCATCCCCCACCCTTCAGGAGACTCCCCCCCCCCCACCTCACATCGCCAGCCCCATTCCTTCAGGCGCCCAGCCAGAGGCGTGATGCAAAGTAGCCTTGGCAAATGAAGGGCATGGATGAAATAGACGAGACGCCACTTGAAACCGACGAGGTAAGGCGTCTCGGCTTGGAACTAGCATTCCGGGCAGGCTGGAAAAAGACTCCTCACTCCCAAATGGGAGTGAAGGAAAAGAGATTGAATGAGTCAAACGGAAGCCAATCTCCCTCCCTCCCTCCCCCCCCTCTCTCTCTCTCTCTGTGTGTGTGTGTGTGTGTGTGTGTGTGTGTGTGTGTTGTGTGCATTCTTGCCTGTTGCCATTTCCTCTCCAATTGTTGCGTTCACCACTTTGCGCATCTCCCTTATTATCGGACTGCCCTGGAGACGCTTCTCACTGACGCTTTAATGTTACGGCGGGTTTATTTATATGTATATATAGACGATGGGGGCAGGAGGGAAGCGAGGAAGGGAAGAAATGTGGGCACGACCTCTGGCTGTTCAGCCCTGCTAAAATCCCTCGCTCCCCCCACTTCCCTTGCTCCTGTGAAGGAGCTCTGCGCAACCCGAAAGCTTGCGTCCTTGACGCACCGCATAGTTTAACCGTGGAACTCGCTCCCGCAGGAGGCAGCGATGCCCAACAACTTGGATGACTCTAAAAGAGGACCGGACCAATTCACGGAGGTGAGGGCTACCAGTGGCGACTAGCCACGATGACTACTCTTCCTCTACAGTCGGAGACTTCTGTACCCCAGTTGCCGGAAACCACAGAAGGGGAGGGTGCTCTTGTGCTTGAGTGCTGCTTGCGGATTTCCTTTGGGATATCTGGTTGGCCACTGTGAGAACAGGATGCTGGACTATGATGGGCAAATGGCCTGATCCAGCAGGCTTGTCTTGGTTCCTGCGTTTTGGATCCTAGCTGTCGCAGAGCATTTCGCCTGTAACATTTTCGGGGCAGAGCCCTGCCTTTTGGTTTCTGCGATGTTGTTACCCTGCAAAGCTCCCAGCGCCAGACAGAGGGCCTTCTCGGTAGTGGCGCCCACCCTGTGGAACACCCTCCCTTCAGATGTGAAGGAAATAAGCAGCTATCCTATCTTTAGAAGACATCTGAAGGCAGCCCTGTTTAGGGAAGTTTTTAATATTTAATGCTGTACTGTTTTTAACATTTGATTGGCTGGGGAGTGGCTGGGGAAACTCAGCCAGATGGGTGGGGTATAAATAATAATAACTTCTTCTTCTTCTTCTTCTTCTTCTTATTATTATTATTATTATTATTATTATTATTATTATTATTATTATTATTAGCGCTCATGGTGCAAGCCATAAAGTGACATGACTGCAGCTCTTTCGTACTTCGGCGCGCCAGAGGATCCTAAGAAACGGCCGCCTTCCTAAATCCAACCCACGCGCAACTTCCAAGCGTCTGCTTTCTTTCCCCCCTCTTTTCAAAGGAGCTCCCTGGAGCCCTCGGGCGAGATGTTTCCCCGCCCTCCTTGCAAGGCAGGTCCGTTGTCTGCAGGGGGTACTGCAACCCGCTGGCCGCAGCCTATAAAGCGCAACAGGCAAATCCCCTTCCCCCGCGTCCCACCTCCTTCCCCCGCCGTCGACTGTGCTACTTAGAGACCTGGCGCTGGATATTTATTTAGTGAGGCGCTTGAGCAGGGAGAGCGAGGGTTTGGCTTGCCGGAGCCAGGAGCCTGCCGGCTTCAGAGACAGAACTTTGCCGCTGCTGGTGGGGTCAAGGAGAAGACGACGCCTGTCCCAGAAGGACATTGTCCTAGAGAGAAGCAGCTGCGTTTGGCGACCATCAGCAGGACCATCCGACCGGAGGAGATAGCAGGAGGGAGGCTGGCTGGACCTGGATTTTGAGGAAAGCTGGAGGGCAAGCTTGGAGCAGGACGGTCCCTGGAAGTGGGACGGAGAGAGACCAAGCCAAGCCAGGTAAAGCAACAAGCATATGGTTGGAAGGAGGGCGGAGAGGTGGGTAGAAGCGAGAGACTTCAAGTCTAGCGGGAAGGCATTGTGGGGAAAACTTTGGGGCACTGGGCTAGAGCCCCACCACCGAGGAGCCACCAGACTCTCTTGTGGCTTTGGCGAAAGCAGATTAACATGGACACACTCTTCTGGGGTGTGCAGAATGAGTCAATCCTTGGAACAATCTCAAGGTTTTTGAACAATTAGTGGCTGCTTAATTCAAGAGGATCCATTTTCTGAAATTGGAGGTCACTTTTTGTGTGTTTGTCACATGTGGGCAACCCACACGTCATTATCATCACCAGTTAATAAAATACATTTGTATTATTGATAACATTATTAATAGTATTAAATGCCATTAAATATTAATTATATTAAATATTTGTTTATTATTTATTATTATTGAGCATTATTATTATTATTATTAGGGTTAGGGTGGTGGTGGAGTACACAGAAGGAAGTTGCAATCAGGGACTTCCCATCATTTGTCACACATTTGTGTGTGAGTTAGTCCATTTCCTCTTACACTGAAATGACCATTGTGTAGGGAAAAGGGAAGGCTTGGGCTGATTCACACATGCCTGCCCACCACTTGATTCCTGAACCCCCATTAACTGGCAACTGAATGTGTGAAAAGGTCCACACTTGACTGTCATGCAAAGCTAGGTAGCTCAGTTGGCTAGAACATGGAAGTAATAATGCTATGGTTGCAGGATCAACCCCCCATAAGGGATAGCTGCACATTCCTGCATTGAAGGGTGGGCCTGGATGATCCCCAGGGTCCCTTCCAATTTTATGGTTCTCTGTTTCTATGACTGGAAGGTTGTGATCACAAGAACCACTGGGTATAGGGCAGTGTATAAATCCAATAAAGAAGACGAAGAAGAAGAAGAAGAGATCTGGCAGGGGTGGGGAAGCTGACCTGCGATGGTGCATTTCACACATGCAGGTCAGCGCATGATCCCAGTCACCTTCAAAGCAGTGGAAGTGCAGGTGTGAAGCAATCCAGGGAGCACTGGGTGCATATCAGCTGGCTTACACAAACACAGATATCACATGTCATTTCATGTACATTTGGGAACTAGCGACTGAGCGTTTGAACTGATTTTGCTGGGCAGCTTTTTGCACCGGAGATGAAATTTTGTTTGTGACTTGCAAGTCACCCACTCAGGACTGCAAGCCACCCTCTTGGTGTTTCTGTCACTGAGTGATAGGAAAAGGCAGTAGTAGCTCAGTGGTTAAAACATCTGCTTTGCATGTAGAAGGTCCCACATTCAACCTCCAGAAACTCCAGAATGTCTCCTGCCCAAAACCCTGGAGAACCACTGCCAGTCAGTGTAGACAATGCTGAGCTAGATAGACCAATAGTCTGGCTTAGCATAAAGCAGTCAGTGCTGAACTAGGTGGAGTATCAGTCAGATTCAGCATGATCTCGTCAATGGACCAATGGTCTGACTCAGTGTAAGGCAGCTCCCTATGTTCCTAATATGCAATTTTTAAAAACAAAATGAAATGCTTTTAGACTGCCTTTCCATATACTCAGATGTGTGAATGAGGCCCCTTTCTGTGAAGTGTGGAACAAGCATGCATACATCATGTTAATTAAACCAGAATAAGCACCCAGTATTCAGAATTATTAATGCAATATTCCATTTCCCCGTCTGTGAACTGAGCCTGCATTGAAACAGTGAGAAAGATCCATTCTTTCTCCACCAGAGATTGTGATGGGACAGATGAAGAGTATTAAGGGCTAAATAAGTTTCATTAAAGATCTTGCTTGTATACCTTGAGGCGACTTTCCTTCTGATGGAGAAAGAAGTGGACATAAAGACAAAATTTAGGGGATGATGAAGGCTGCTTTCTGTTTCTTTTAAAGTGGACCTGCTTTTAGCACATTTTAAAATATATATCTGTAGTTTGCAAGAGAAATGCATGTGTTTATTTAGTAGAATTGATGGCTAGAACTTGAATAATCCCCACAGAGGCATTTGGAAGTCGGAAAGATTTGGCTGGATCTGCAGTGAAATTAGGTTGGCGGTGATGATGACAATATTTTTTTCTGTGGTGGCTCCCATCAGGCAGAACTCCCTCCACTGGGAAGCAAATGAGACCCCTTCTTGCTTTTATTCCTCAGAAGATCTGTTAAGACCTTTAAAATATTTTAAATGGTTATAACCCATCCTGGGACCTGACAGTGAAGGACGGGTAATTAATGGAATCATTATCAATAAACACAAATCCTGAATGTGTTTTGCTTTCTCCTAAGCTGGTGAGTCAGACTGCTTTTCTACTAGCTTTCATCTCAGTTCTTAAGCTACTAAATATTTTGATTTCCTCTGATGCTTTAAATCGCTGGCATTGAACCTCCAGCTTTTCAGATGTTTTTGGGCTCCAAACCTCCAAAGCCAGTTTGTTCAAAGGGCAGTGGATGATGGGAGTTGTAGTTCAGTGACATCTGGAGGGCCACAGCACCTCCTCATGCCCTACTTTAAATGAACTTCTAATGTTTTGTTTTATACTGAAGTCTTTGGTATCTTGTTTCCATCTGTAAACTGCTTAAGGGTCTGTTTGGAGATGGTGACTCAGTGGATGCTGGTTCTTAGGACCTCAGTCTGTCCCTATTTTGGGGTCTTCCTTAAAAAAAGCTCAAGAACCTTCTGAAACCTGGCAACCCATTCCAGAGGTAGCACTGCCTGTCAATTTCCTGCACTGCCTCTGCCTCAGTGTGGCCCCTTGAAGAACTCAGCATGGAAGTGGATGGACACAAAACCATCGTTCGTTGCCTCTGTCATTGGCTCTGGTGCCATCAACTCTTTGGGCTCTCTGCCTACCACCAGTCCCAAGAGGCACAAACCACCACTGCCACTACTTCAGGGCTAAGGTGAGGTGGCAACAGGAGTGCCAGCTTGGCCCCATGACCGTGAGTTCCCGGGGCCATGGGTGCCATGCAGCCCTGGCACCAAAATTTGTGGGTGCCCAGCAGGGACGCGGACTTATAAAAAATATTGGGGGGGCCCGGGAAAGCTCATGAATAATAAATAAGCTCATGAATATGCAAATAAAGTGGCGCCGCCTCCTCGTGAGCAAATAGGGGAGAGCGTGCTGCGCCTATTAATCAGCTCCAAAGGAAATTGGGTGGAGCTTTTGCTCGGGAGGGAGGGCAGGAGGCATGCAGCCCGCCCCTCCCTGTGCATTTTGGGCTGGGGGAGGGGCGGCGATGGCGCTCTGCTGGAGGGGCGCCGGAGATTATTGGGGGGGCAGAGCCCCCCAAACGAATTTTTGAGGGGGCTCGGGCCCCCTCAAGCCCCATGGAGTCGGCGCCTATGGTGCCCAGCCCCTTCATGGGGAATTTTGTGGGCGCTTGGGTACCCAGGGCCCTAGGAAGTTGGCACCTATGGCAATGTGATTCGCAGAAATGGTGTGAAGGAAATAATTGCTTTAGTGTAAAACCCAGCAAGCAAACAACCCAAGAGAGCCCATTGGAATATCCTTCTTGGGGTGTGTCTTGACCATTAGCCACTGTGACTCCAGGAGCCCTTCTCTGTGGCCGTGACTGCATCATCTTTAGGTATTGCATCATAGGTATAATTTGGGCAATGCAGTGGTGAACTAGATGACCCTGTGGGTCCCTTCCAATTCTACAATTCTAGATTCTTCTTCTCTGCCATTTAAGAGCCCTGAGAACACTGGATTACACTTTAGACAGAGACTTCCTTTACAACCAGGGCTATATTTTCTAGAGGGAGAGTAATTTTTTTATTTGTTGCTTTGTCCTTGGGATTGGAATTTGAAACCTTATCAGCACAGCCTGTTTGCAACCAAATTAAGTGGCTGCTTCAACTTCATCCATTTTTCTTATGACTAAAAAGGCTGAAGACAGGAGATAAGGCAGGTCAAATGGCACACACAAACACACACACACAAACACACACACACACTGCTTTTTTTCCTTTTCCTTTTTTTTTTTTTTTTTTTTTGCTTGAGTATTCAACTCCAGGAAGAATTATTTTTAACTCAAAATTATGCATGTAAAAATAACATGTAATATCAGTCAAAAAGAACTGCAGTTATAAATTGCTCTGAGTCTAAGGAGGATCTGATGGATTAAAATATCAAATACTAGACCTCAGCAATTCCACCAGAGCCCAGAAAAAGCAAAGAATGTGAGGGAAGAGGTAGGATTCAGACCCTGTGTAGGGAGGGGTGAATCTGTCAGTTTGAGTTGCTCTCAGCTTCTAATTTTTTCCTGTCTGAAAGTATAGTTATCCACATTTTTACATTTGTTCATGTTTTTTTAATAAAAAAAACCATCATCCTAATGAAAATTCATAAAAAATAGCATGAATTTCTTCTAATACACACATTTGTGTATGCAATTTTGCCTAATATGCACATTTTTGTAAAGCATGTTCCTCTTCTAAAATACTAATGCTATTTTTTCCTAATATATGCATTTCAATGCACATTTTACTCTAGTATACATGCATCTTTCTGCACATTATTACTTATCTGAAGAAATGCATTGCAAAAAAAGTCTGGCAGAGTGCAGTTTCCAAAGGATGGCTATATATTTTGGTTTGTGTATTGGTTCAGGAAGTGCGAATTACATAGGTTCGTTCTAAAATGCAAACAGAATTGAATTTATCCCCCAATCCTAATTCTTAGAACCTCATTTTCTTCACTTCTGATAAAGCAAATTTCTAATCCCTATGGTTGTTCCTGAAAGTATGAGCACAGCAGGGAGCTGATTAAGACATCCATGGGTCAAAAATGTTTTAACTTTTAATAGATAAAGAGTTACAGAAAGGGGAGAGTTTTAAAGAGACAGCGGCAAACTCATTGGCGCATAGCTCACTGAAGATGAGTAGAAACCTATTGTTACAGGTGTCTTGCAACAATTTGAACTTGCATAAGCTGTTATAAAATGGGTGTTACATTGGCTACTTTAAAGTCCTTAGGTATGTAGGCTGATCTGAAGGACAAGTTACATATTTTTGTTAGAAGATCAGCAGTTTCACATTTGAGTTCACTGAGAACTCTCGGGAGGATGCCATCTGGGCCGGTGATTTGTCAGTTTTTATTTTTCTATTAAGCCTAGAACTTCATCTCTCATCACCACTGTTTGCCTTATTTCCCCAGACTCACCTTCTGAAAAGGCACTGAGATCTGCCCAATATCTTCCATTGTGAAGGCAGATGCAAATATGGTAGTTCATTCAGTTTATCCACAATCTCCTTATCCTCCTTTAGCACCCATTTGACTCCCTTGTCATCCAAGAGTCCAATCACCTCCCTAGACAGTTTCCTGCTACTAATATATTTAAAGAACATCTTGTTTATTGTCTTAATGTTTTCAGCAATGTGTTCCTCACATTCTTTTTTAGCACCCCTTACTGTCTGCCTACAATTTCTTTCTTTCTCTTTGCCAAGGTTTTCACGTTCTTTTTTGTTCTGTTCATTTGGGCAAGACTTCAGTTTTTTGAGGGAAGCCTTCTCACCTCTAATAGCTTCTTTGTCTCTGCTCGTTAACCGTGTTGGTGTCCTCTTCACCCTCCTAGCACCTTTCCTGATCTGCCATATACACTCCAGTTGATTGTCTAATACTGTGTTTTTAAACAACTCTCAAGCATTTTGGAGTGATTTGAACCTTTTGATTCTGCCTTTCAACTTCCTTTTTATCAATCTTCTCATTCTGAGGAAGTTCCCTTTTTAAAAACCAAATGTGACCATGTGCGCCTTCCTTGGCAACTGGCCATTTCCATGTATATTTAATTTAATAGTGCTATGACCACTGTTCCCAATTGGCTTACCCACACTTACATCTCGCACCAGATCTTGGGTGCCTCTCAAGATTAGGTCTAGGGTGCCACCCCTCTAGTCAGTTTCTAACTGTGAGCCACTAACTGTTGGCTCACCCTAATAGCCTTGGAGGTTGATGGATCAACACGTGGTCAATATAAATAACAAAAATGTGCATAGATACAGAGGTTCTCCCCATTTACTGCCCCTGAATTCTTTGCAGCTATAACATTCTTCCTTCCATGTCTACATTCTTCCTTCAGTAGTGTAGCATTTTATGTCTCCTGGGAGAAGGACTGTAGATCAGATGCATGCAGAAGGGCCCATATTCAACCCCCAACATCTCTAGATAGGGCTGGGAGGGACCCCTGCCTGAAACCCCCAGAGAGATGCTTCCAGTCAGCATAGACAATACGAAGATGGACCATTGCTCTGACTTGGTATAAGGCAGCTTCCTATGTTCCAAACCCTGAGGGTGAAGAGTGGGATCAGGTCTGGTGAGATGCTGGAACAGGAAGCTGCCTGAGTCTGGTACTGAGCTGGATAGACTAAGGTTCTGACTCAGTTTCCTGTGGGGGAAGAGGGCACAGCTCAGGGATAGAGCACCTGCTTTGCATGCAGAAGGTCGCAGGTTCAGTCCCTGGCATCTCCAGGTAAGACTGGGAGAGACCCTTGTCTGAAATCCTGGAGAGCCAGCCAGTGTGGACAATACTGAGCTCAATGGCTTGACACGGTATGAGGCAGCCTTCTCTTTTCCTTTGAGAGAATGATCCAGTAACATCCAAGGCTATTATGGGGAGTTCATTTTGTTCACAGCTCCCATATTCATTTTTATTTGCAGGAGAAGGTTGATGGGAGAAAACAAAACATCTGCTTAATTCCTAAATAATTGCCAGCCAGGGTAGCTAATGATTTTGGTGCATTACAGCAGAATGTGCAAGGCAGCTGTTTCATACATTTTAAACAGGAGAGATTTCTGAACATGCCCACCAATAATCTTTTCTTTTCATGTTTCTGTTCGTTTTTCTCTCCCCCAGGATGAAAATGCTGAGGGACACTAGGCTTCGTCATTCTTAAGAAACCACATTGAGACAAGGAACATGGATCCTTTGTACTTCTCCACCGCTTTCCTCAAAGAAGCCATTCCTCCAGATGATAACTTCTCCTTTTTGGCCAACACAACAAGCAACGCGACTCTCGGAGGGTTTTCCATTCCTACCAGCATCCGCTCTGTGCTCATTCCAATCATTTACCTCATGGTTTGTGCCGTTGGGCTGAGCGGGAACACCTTGGTCATTTACGTGGTCCTGCGTTATGCCAAGATGAAGACCGTCACCAACATTTACATTTTAAACTTGGCAATCGCTGACGTACTCTTCATGCTCGGCTTGCCATTCCTGGCTACCCAGAATGCCATCTCCTACTGGCCATTTGGGACTTTCATGTGCAGGCTAGTGACAGCTTTTGATGGCATCAACCAATTCACCAGTATCTTTTGCTTGACAGTCATGAGTCTGGACCGCTACCTTGCCGTGGTTCACCCCATCAAGTCTACCAAGTGGCGTCACCCAAGGTTCGCCAGACTGATCAGCCTGGCAGTCTGGACTTTCTCCTTCCTAGTGGTGCTCCCAATGATCATATTCGCTGATGTCCAGGAAACCTTTGACACCTGCAACATGAGCTGGCCTGACCCGGTGCAGATCTGGTCTGCGGTGTTCATCATATACACCTCCGTCTTGGGGTTCTTTGGACCTCTGCTGGTGATTTGCCTCTGCTACCTGCTGATCATCATCAAAGTCAAGTCCTCGGGGATCCGAGTGGGCTCTACAAGGCGCCGAAGGTCAGAGAGGAAAGTGACCAAGATGGTGGTCATCATTGTGGTTGTTTTTGTTTTCTGTTGGCTTCCCTTCTACATTGTCAACATCATCAACCTGATCTTCATCTTGCCGGAGGAGCCTGTCTTGGTTGGCATCTTCTGTTTCGTGGTGGTTCTCTCCTACGCCAACAGCTGTGCCAACCCCATCCTGTATGGATTTCTTTCCGAAAACTTCAAGCAGAGCTTTCAGAAGGTCCTGTGCCTCCGCAAAGGAAATGGCATTGAAGACGGCGACCCAACCGAACATCGGCAAGAGAAGAGCAGCCGCCTGCAGGAGGCGATGCTACTCCAGAGAAGTGTGGAGTCCAATGGGCACATGCAGACTAGCAAGCTGTAGAGAGGGACCTCCATTGCCTTCAAGAGAACTGGAACTTGCTTGGAGCACATTGTGGTGGCAAATGCCATGGGCATGATAAGAATGGACTTTGCCAAATCCTGTTTCCAGGGTGTACAAATATTTGCTTTCTTTCCACCTTGCACAGAAATGCTCTCCTCTTCAACATTACACCACACAAGCAAGACAAGAAAACAGGGGTGGGGCTATGCAGATCAAGGGGGTGGGGCATGCAGATAGCAGGAGGCTTGATTCTCAATGGGGAACACTGTTGCTCCACCTCAACCATTGGCTTCATAAATAGGTGGAAGGGTAAGAAGGCCTGGATCTCTCTACCTCACCCCCAGCCTATCCAACATGGTAGATATATCTCCATCATGCTTCATGGGCAAGGGAGACATACGCCAGTTCCCAATGTTCTACACTGTGGGCTGATGGGAGTTGTAGTCCAAGAAGCTGGAGGACACCAGGTTGCCAACGGATACACTAGTGCAATCCATAAACGGAAACCACAACAGGATTGGACAGACTTGATTCTCCGTGGCTAAGTTAAGCTGGTATAAAATGGATGGAAATTTGTAGTATTGATACATAGAATGCATTGTAAATCCTGCCAACCCTAACACACCATGCGACACTGTCCCCAGGTATGTTTCCACAGCTCTGTTGAGCATGCTACAATCCACCTAGCCATTATTGGTAAAACAAAGCATTCTCACGTCTTACTTACCGCACATGCTTCTAGTGGCCTGCTGTTTTGCAGGTTGCTTCCAGCAGGGGCAGAACCAACACCATCCACCTCAGCGGCAAACCTGAGCAAAGCCAATATGAAGAAAAATGTTCCATTTTGTGCCCTGCTTTCCCAAGGGTTTTTTTGCCCTGCCATTTCCCCTAAATCTAGCAACACCCATTATCAGCACCACTAGAAATCCATTTGAATTAGGAAGCAGACTTTAAGCCTTGCACACCAATGCTAGTTGGGATAATTTGGGTGGTGATTTGGGGAGAGGAGTAAATTAATTAAAGCCAAGCCAGAATCATAGAGTTGGAAGGGACCCAAGGGTCATCTAGTCCAACCCCCTGCAATGCAGGAACCTCAGCTAAAGCATCCGTGATAGATGGCCACCCAACCTCTGCTTCAAAACCTCTAAGGAAGGAGAGTCCACAACCTCCCAAAGGAGTCCGTTCCACTGTTAAACAGTTCTTACTGTCAGAAAGTTTTTCTGAATGTTTAGTCGGAATCTCCTTTCTTGTAACTTGAAACCATTGGTTCGAGTCCTACCCTCCAGAGCAAGAGGAAACAAGCATGCACCCTTCTCCATGTGACAGCCCTTAAGATATTTGAAGATGGCTATCATATCTTCTCTCCGTCTCCTCTTTTCCAGGCTAAACATGCCCAGCTCCTTCAAGGCTTAGTTTCCACACCCTTGATCATCTTGATTGCCCTCCTCTGCACACGTTCCAGCTTGTCAACATCCTTCTTAAATTGTGGTGCCCAGAATGGGACACAGTATTCCAGGTGTGGTCTGACCAAGTCTGCAGACCCGTGAGTGGTAGTAGGGTGCCTGGAATCCGAATCAACATGTATTGCACCAGCTCCTGCAAGTGGCAGTTAAAGCATGGACCAGCAGGGGCACTGTCCAATAGTGTCAGCAAGTCTAATGAAGAGCCAGAAGGCCTACTTCTGAGCAGGAAGAAGCTGTCCTGCAGGCTGCCAGAACTAGGACCTGGTCCTTGGAGCAGGTGCCCCAGGAGCATCGTGGCCACAACTGCCTCACCTTTCCTAGCACACATATCAGGGACCTGATTCAACCATAGTTGGGGTACCGATGCTGAGTAAAGCTCTGACCATCGGACTGCTGCATCAATTCAAGCTTGCTGCTGCCTCTGCTTGTGAGGGCTGAGGGGTTAGTGTGGTGAATCCATCGCTGGAAAATTTGAGTCCCTTCAATTCTGCAGGGTGGCACAATTTCCTTGCAGTATAGCCTCCGGGGTTCTGTCAGGGTGCCCAGTTTCCCACGGTCCTGGTTCTGTGGCAGAGTTCTCTAATGAGAATGTTTTACCTGAATCTCACTCTGGGAACTGGCAGATTCCTCTTCCCCTCCTCAAAAGCACAAGAACAGGTGTAGGGAGAAGGTCTGGAAGTGGTCACATGCAAGCCATATACTTAAAATGCTATTATGCCACTTTTAACAGTCTCAGCTTCCCCCAAATAATACTGGGAGCTGTCATTCATCAAAAGTGCTGAGAGTTGTTAGGAGACACTTGTATTCCCTTCCCAGAACTACAGTTCCCAGAGTTATCTGGGCAGGGGGGTTGTTAAACCACTCTGGGAATTGTAGTTCTGGGCGGAGGAAAGGGGTCACCTAACAACTCTCTGCACACTGAACAAACAACAATTCTGGGGGTTCTTTGGGGAAAGGCACGGCTGCTTAAAGTAATATCAAAGCACTTTAAACGTAAAGTGTGGATGTGGTCAGTGTGGCAATTTGCTCTTTTTTTTGCAGCTAATTCTGCATCTGCTAACGTCTGTCCTTAACAACTTGGTACTCTGAAGTGCCGAACTTTTTCTCGCTCGTGCCCAGAGTGCACAGCTACATGTGGTCCAATGCAATCTTGCCTTGTTGATAAGAGGATTTTTAAATGCACACCCCTATAATGTGTTCCTTTGCAGTGTTATCTTTTTTAAAAAAAAGTCATGCCATCTCTCAGCACTTGTTTTCTTGCTTCTGAAGTGTGTGTCGTCTGCTGCTGCTGTTTTGAAATGCCAGGAGCCAGATTTGCTGTAAATAAGGGTCAGGCTGTTGCATCCCAATGTCCTTCAAAATGCTTTAAGAATAAATATACAAGGTGGTTCCAAACGAGGTGTGATGGGGGCGGGCGGCGGTGTTGTGCCACCAACCTCCTTCTCTGTTCTATGTCTCCCTGGTAACATCTAGCAAAAGAAGATGGAAGAAGTGATCCTCATTGCATCGAACATTTTTCTGCTTCAACTTCTCTCACTGTCTGCTGCTCTTGGAGGGGGAAGAAATGTCAAGTGTGATGGAAGTGTGTCATGCATTATATTTTTATGGAGAGATGCGGGTAAGAGAAAGGTGACAACCACATCCTCCCCCCCCCGGCAATTTTTTCTAGGGCTGCAGTTTATATTAGGGTAATCTAATTTTTCTTTAGAATTGATTGTGTTATATATAACCCATTAAAATGAATGCATCTAAATTAGTCATGCCCATCAATTTCAAAAGGTCTGTGCTTAAGACAAACATCGAACACTACCTATCAAAATGTAGAAGCCTTGGATCTATTCCAAAGGCACTCCACAATTGGGAAGCGCTGTGTGTGTGTGTGTGTGTGTCTACTGTCACCCTGAGGGCCACATTACTTCCCAAGGAACCCTCCAGGGGCCATATACTATCCTAGGCAAATGAACCATCTCCAAGTTTCCCATGTCACACCTTATTTGTGAGGATCTGACTTTGCGCAGATGTAGCCCAGGAAATCCTCTGGGCTCTTGGTTCACTCTGTACATTTCACCTTTCATACAAAGCTGTTTGTTGAATGTGACCTCACTGTTTTTACATCTGAGAATGATTGTGTTGTCCTGGCAAGGTTTTGTGAATTCATGTGCTGGTTTGCTGTCCAAAATATGGCTGAGAATTTAAATACTATTTTCAGATATTAAAATGTGAGTTAAATGATGTTCTTGCAAAGTGGTCATGGATTTATTTATTCTCTTCCTTCCCCCACCTTTGTACACTTCCTTCGGTCACAGAAACCCTGCAATATCAACATGGCATCTCTGGGCTTGTTATCCCAAGGCGAGGCGGGGGAGAACTAACAGGCATTAAGGTTGTAGCAGTGTGCAAGGGGGGAAACAAAGTCTAGTTACTCCAGTCATTTTTGTCACTGGAATACACCCAGATAAGTGAGCGTAGGATCACAGCCTTTGTTGTTTATTAGTTAGAACTGCATTAATCTCATTGCTGAATCAAAACTAGTTCGTTCCTGAAAGCTAGTTCATTTCATCCCATCCATTTGTGTTTGCTGTTAATTTCAATGGGAGTACCTGACAGCCTTCTACTGCCCATAACTTTGGTGTTATCTATCCTATCATACAATTTTCAAGTGTCCTCCTCCTACTCAATGGTATCAGACCTGCAAAAAACATGCAATGTTTCTATCATCTATCTATCTATCTATCTATCTATCTATCTATCTATCTATCTATCATCTATCATCTATCATCTATCATCTATCATCTATCATCTATCATCTATCATCTATCATCTATCTATCTATCTATCTATCTATCATCTATCATCATCTATCTATCTATATCTCCCTGTTGGAACATACTGATGGGAAACAATCCTACATTTTTTATTGCAAAAAAAAAAGATCACTAGAGACTATCCTCACCCATATTTAAACAGTCTGCTTCATTACTTATACAAATATCACACTGACATTTACTTGTTGAATAAGGATTTAACCAATTTCCCCGAAAGGAAACCCAAGGTGGGGGAGGGAGAGTTGCAGAAGTCCTAGGCAACAAATGGTCAGAAAGAGAGAGCTATATGAGTTGTATTCACCAAATGAGTCCAGAGGAAGCGGAGGGTGTTCTGTATCACATTTTAAGTAGAGAATGTCTTCAAATCCTGCCATACCGGGGGGGGGCAGTATTCGGAACTGGGGAGAGCAGGAATAGAACCTATATTTTCATATCGCTCAATTGACACTAGTTCGTTTCCCAGGATTTTGATCCTACTTATCCTTTCTGGGGAGGAATCCGCCACTGACTTCATGCAGAATCAATTCACAATGAGCCTTGATTTTCAGAACGAAACAAGTTTTGCAAAAAGCACTTTTCAGGCGCAAAACATATGTAATAGTAGATCCAGCCTCTGTGCGTGGACTACATAGAAAAAAACAAGCACACGGTCTCCGTTAATGCTAGAATAAAATGTCCTGGGTAGACAGCCTTGATAATAATAATAAAAAGCACTTCAAAAAAAAAAATCACCTCCTGAACTGTTTGTGGTAAGGAAAGTGGTGGGAAATGTACGGAAAGTGTGAGATAATGGTTATTCCCTGGAACCTCTGCAGAAACAATCAGAATGAATGCTCAGTAAACATAACAACTGTGGAAAGTCTGTGCAAACAAATCAGGAGGAATGCTCAGGAAACAGGTTGCCTGAAGTCATGGTTATGGCCTCATCCGTTGATGTTGGGCGGGTTTTTTGGTTTACGAAAACACCACCACTCTAAATATCAGATACTGGAAACCAACGAAAAGGATTAAAAGCAGGAGGAGGTTCATAGCTCAGTGGCAGAACATCTGCTTTGCATGCAGAAGGTCCACAGTTCAGTCTCCTGCATCTCTAGGTAGGGCTGGTAGAGACTTCTGTCTGGAGCCCTGAAGAACCACTGCCAATCAGTGCAGAGAACACTAAGTTGGTTGGGCCAATGTTCAGCATGTTAGATATTCCCTGTAATGAGGAGCCAGAGATGCAAAGGAGCGAACAGCTCCTGTAGGACTCAAAACATTTGGCACAAGCTCTCTATGGATTTCCCAAACAGCTTGTTAAATAGACCTAGAGCAAATCAGGTTGCAGCTCCAACAGCTGGGAGGTCTAAGACCTTAAAACAAACTGAGCCAGAAAGATCCCCAATAGACTATTCATCCTGTTATGAGAATTATAAGGCCTAAGATATAAAATAAATGTTCATAAATGTACCAGGCAAACACATACATAAATATATAAACCACATGTCTGAAACAATACAGGAAAACAGTCCTAAAGCCATTTTGACTCTTTCAGTGACCTCAGATATTCCTCTGGAGTTTGGATGGAAATGGGAAAGGCCTCCTCATTCTCTCTGTGCTCAAAAATGTGCCTTAAGGGCACATTTGTGTATGAATAGGGTGAGCCTGTGACCTGGACTCAGGAATTAAGTACCGTATTTTTCGCTCTATAAGACGCACCAGACCACAAGACGCACCTAGTTTTTGGAGGAGGAAAAGAAGAAAAAAAATATTCTGAATCTCAAAAGCCAGAATAGCAAGAGGGATCACTGCACAGTGAAAGCAACAATCCCTCTTGCTGTTCTGGCTTCTGGGAT